CCCCCCCCCCCCCCCCCCTCAATTGTATTGAAAAAATAATAGGGTAGGCAGACAAAAAATAGGGTCTGTCAAGAACCGGAACCACAGGGATGCAAATGCTACAAATTTGGAGGCTGATATTGTCAATCACTATAAATGATAGCCATTAAATAATATTCCAAAATCATAGAAGCTTCACTTCCGAATTTATTAAACTATAATCGCAGCTGGATACTATGTTAAAAAATAAACGAAATTAAGGCCATTACCTTGCATTCATAACCAACTTTGCCTTTATTCACACCCCAGGTGGTTTTAGCTCCTGCCCAGATGTATGTGAATCCTTCGTCTGTGATCACACTGCCTGTCAAACCATCTGGTGAGACTTTGAAGAACAAGTCTGAAACATCTACACGAAAGACGGACAGTACAGTTATAGACAGTGAAGATTGAGCGCATTATTAGCAACGTTATTTTGAATTTTTTCCAAGTTACTTACATCTACTCCAGACAACAGAGGAATCATCAGTCTCATCTTTTTCCTCTTCAATTTCTAACAGTGACTCCCTACAATACACATGCAGGTATATAAATATCAACACACTAATGAATTAAACAATCATGTTTGAATGAAAGTAGGTATAACAGCACTGCAACTTGGCAATCATAGTCACCAGGGAAAAGTAAAATTCACCGACCAAAGTGCAATATTCTCCTGGTCAACCATAAACAACTGAACTGTCCACATGTGCGAAAAACAACATTTTATTCATGTAATTGTTATCAGAGACGGATTTTCATATTTTCGTTTGGGGGGGGGTTGGATAAATATCTGGGGTGCTGCTGCCACTTGCTTTGGCCAGGGCCTGGTGGCAACGTCCAGAAAGGCCAAGGAAAATGTTTAACAAAACTTGTTTTCTATGCCTGCATGGCGGCATCTGAGACCATAATATTAGTAATTTTACAAATTTAGTAATAAGAATAACCAAATAGGAAAATATCAAATCAAAATATGTATAATTTGAGGGGGTGCAAAAAATATTTTGGGGGCGGTGCCAAATGCCTCTGGGGGTGCAAAGCATTTCTGGGGGGTGCACAACCCCCCCCTCCCCTAGAAAATCTGTGCCTGATTGTTATTAAATTCATAAATGTTTTAACTTATTGTGTAATTCTAAATTGAAGCGAGTTGTGTCACTTAGTCTAAACTAATAACTATAAAATAAAAATACTCTCTGAACTAACTTAAATTTTGATGTTGTTTTATACTTTTATAGATTAGCCAAATTGACATGTGTGCATGTAAAATTCCAAGCATGTGCATTTACACTGCAATATCTCATTGGCCTACTAGCAGATTATACCAGTTTAAAATTAAAAATGCTTGGCAAAAAACATCACTGACACTCGAAGAATATTTAGCCGGTCATAATGATCATTGAAAACAAAAAAGTGGCATTCATTGCCCTAATTTCACCAATATTTAACCAGTGACCAGCCGTTATTTGCAGCATTGATAAAATGCGTCCTTTCTGGATAGGTTACGCAGTTCCCCAAGGCCTGCTATGTTGTATGTTGTTGTTGATTTGTTACACACACCTTTTCTTTTCCTTCTTTGGTGACTGCTCTTCTGACTTCTGCTCTTTATCTAATATTCCAAAACAAGATTTTATTAATATTTGTTTACTACTTGAGTCGGTTTTCTTTGATGCACCACAGGATGTATACAGGTTAGAACAGTGAATAAATAATTAGATAAAACTTGTCAACAAAACTCAAATAATCTTGATTGAAAAGTCTTCGAAATTGATTAAACCTTGTTCAAAAACCTCCTCAACTTGTAAACAAAGTTGAACTGTGCCCTCATGGGTTGATATGCAACTTAATTATATCCCATGTTCTCGGTTTATAACCTATATTTAATTAACTTTAATTAAGTGGCAATGCACCATACTTTATTATTTTACTCCGTCTAACACCAAATGATTTTACTCATCAAGGGGAGAGGTCTTGGCTTTAATGGGTCAACCAAACTATCGGGCAAATTTATGTGTCTTGTTAGCACGCCCTACTTTATTACTTTACTCTGTCTAATGCCTGATAATTTTTCTCTTAAAAGGGAGCTTGTGCTTTAAGTTCATAATGAGCTTGCCAAAAAGGTCTGTACATTGTTTGAAAAGTGATATGTGTTTTCGCTGGTTACCCCCCCCCCCCCCCCCCC